ATGTTACTTCCTGGTATGTCTATAAAATATGTTTTAACATAGGGGTCCAAAACCAGGATAGTCCAAAATGTTGTTCTTCAAAATCATGTCCGAATGGAATTATTAAATATCCGAGTCAGTGAATTTGTCAAAAATTATTTAAATAGTGCTATTTTAAAAATGAAGACACCAACAGTGACCCTGAATTGTGTCTAAACTTGTTCGATAAAAATTTCGCATGAAAATAATAATATTAAGGTTGTACGCGAATCCAGTTTCCGCGCGATTTAAGGGACCGTTACACGGAAGCTTTTAAATTTTACCCAAATCAACTATTTGGAAATAAACCCTTGCTATGATTACTAATCATACTGGAACTGCGGAAAACTACAAAATATTAAATTGAGGAATGTCAACTTGCGTGTTGTCCAGAACTACCGTGTCCACATTGTGGCTGAAACATTATGTCTCGAAACTGTAATTTACATGTATTTTTTTAACATAAAATTCTAGATTCTTGAAATGCATGTACATTCTATGAAAGCAGAATTAACTAACCATCCCTCATTTCTCATTCCATCGTCCTTTTTATATTGCTTTGATCGTCTAGCCCTTCAAAGACACACACGGTTTCAAAACACATTTACAACAAAGAACAATATTTACGGAACATGGTATGATTACTAAGAACAGGACCAAACATATTCGCTCCATTTGGTTTGGTTTTCTAGGAACTCATTACTGAGTTATTACTGCTAAATCCCAACAATAATTCTGTAATGTCGAACATGGTTCATTAGTTCGACTGCTATTGTCTGTGATAACCTAGACTGTGTATACATATATTATTAATATTTCCTTTAGTTTAAATTCCCAACTTAACCATACGAAAAATAGACAAATGACCGAACAACTATCATATTATTCATCTATTAGAAGCCACGATAACTTGTTGTAGATGTAGGCCTGACAAGAAAACTGTACCTAGTTGCTCAGATTGGGCGGGTTAAAAGATACATTGCGTGCACGTAAACGTTATCTTGGCAGTTGGGCTAGGAATAAGCTCTACTGGCAAAATTATCTTACATCGTATTGCACACCTAACTTTAGAGGGAAATATTTCTTCGGTTATTTTGAAACAAACTGTTACGTATGCAATGCATGGGGGGGGGGGGGATTTTGCCAGGATCGCGGAGTTTACGCTATCGGTTATTCGTATTTCAACTGCCAAGATGTTTTTACATGCACGCCATTGTGTACACGAGTGGATATCCGCCAACTCTTAATCGAATTCCAACTACCAGGGTTCTTTAAAGGAGGCAAGTCTATAACTCGCTATCATCCACAGTCGACGACTTATTGGTCAATTTAAATCAACGTTGATGGGCATCTGATAACCAATATTTAAGACAAAATGAAAGTTTTAAATTGACACACGAATCGCGTGCCCAAATGCTTTCGAGTACCATTTGTAATGAAGCGACTAGATGAACCTAGCTATACATATCTAAGCAGAATACTGCCCATGTAGACTGCAATAACCAGACGTCAAAGACTTCTATTCAATCTGGACTCGTCACGTATTTCGCCGAACATAACTGATTAAAAATTACAGTACAAACAGAAATGATGAAATGTAAATCAGTTTATATACATTCATATTACATTATTATATGCTTTGCGACAAATTTGTGTCCATTTCTAGGTGCCAAAGAATAGAGATTTAGCTCTTTTAACGAACACGCCAATGTGTACACAGGTGAAACTCGGTTTTTCGTTCCATTCGAAAGACTACAGAAACTGTTTGTAAACCCCACACGTGTCACGTTTCAAAATCAAAACGATTAGGAACGGATAAAATGCTGGCTCAAAATTTAAATCAGATGTGGCATCTCATTGTTTTCATGAATTGCTACCTTTGTAATCGAAGTTCCGATATTTTCGGGTCGTCTGGTTTCCATTAGTCCAAAATTAACCCAGTTCTCTCGAGTGAACGTTAAACAACTGTAATATATCTCACTTCGTTTTAGTGACGTAAATACGGGATCTGTTGAACCGCTAAAAACGTTTCTGTCATTGAGCACTTAACAAAGTAGAAAAAAAAACTAGATTAATAAATAAATAAATGATATGTAACAAATCCCCATCCATTTGATTTCATTTTACCTTTCTACATCCAAAATATTTGACAATAGTAATCCTATTTACACGTACTAGAGATTATTGTATGTCAAACAAAGAATAACAAGATTTATACGGCATCACTATTCATTACCATGGTAAAAACCATAAAAACTACGGGGCCAGATTAATATTGTTATTGTTATTTCCATTCTATTGAAAACTCATACATCAAGCGATTATCCTAATGTTTATTATAGGCAGTAAATCAACTAGGTATTTTTTTGCATGAACGGCACCAAAGAGAATTGTGTAATCTGCTTGTTTTTCTTCAGTTTAGACTACTTAGAGAGGGTTACGAAGAGTATGGCCTTGGCTCAGTTACCAGGAGGACGCGGGTTAGATCCTGGTATTCCTTGCGAATTTTTAGACAGGTTTCCCCTTATTATTGGCGCGGGACGGAGGGTTTCTCAGAACAAAAACAGTCTAGTTGTTCAGATGGAAAGAAAATCCATGGTCTTGTATATAAATTGGCAGCACGATACAGATCCGTGAAATCGAAATAAGAGTAGACTTGAGAGCACTGTCAGGGGTAAAATTTACCTCATAGTATACTGAATGGCGTACTGCCATTTCCATTAATGCGGTTAGTATTCAAATTAAGACGTTGAACCCAAAATCGAACTCAGGACTTCTTGCCTAGTGAGCCACCGCCATAGTCACCAGGTCATCGTGGACCCTTCGGTACTCATATACATAGCTCGAATACAACAAACCCCATATCAGTAAGTTCCGGGTGCACTGAATCTAAAGACTATTCCAAAACGAAAACATATCTAGCAGTCTGACAAATTAGTGCAATAGTGCGTGAACCTTTTCAGGGGAGACAGAGGGTGGGGTTTAACTTCAACTCGACACAAACTGCCTTAGCACTAACAATTGGTATAATTTTATTTCAATAATTGGTCTTTAGTAGTAGGGGGGAAACCGGAGAAACCAACGAGGTTGGGCTGGCCACCCTATCAAAAACACGCCATTTGACGCAATGTCAAAGCACACTCAACCACCACGACTTGATCAAGTGAACGTTCTATAATAACTGACTTTCCGATAACAGCGTCGTATTGACTGTTTCAAAAGAGAAAATATACCCTGACTCGCGCACGACACCCGCCAATACTACAATTCAATACTATAATAAACCACAACTTGGATGAATTAAAAAATACATCAGTTTAAAGAAACAATTCAGCTGATTTCAATAATCTAGTAAAAAAGTGCTTCAATCGTTAAATCGTTAAATCCTTGAAATTTGAACTCGGTTTGAAAACCAATAATCTGTTTTATGTTGTGACATATGTATTTTTCAAAATCCGGTATTATCATATAACAGCAGGATAAGGACATACACTAAGTTAAAGAAAGGAAACGTAATACATTTCTGCACCGGACAGGCTAATGAACACTGAGCAGTCAGTCATGTTAATGGAGACGGAGCAAGATTATGCAAATATTACAAGTCTTGTGTAGTACGTTAATTAATGTCGTGTTAACGACTAATAAAGCTATTATAGGTTCTTCACGACTAACATGTAGAACAATAACCGAATGGATGCTATTATAAAGCACATCTATTGAAGCCTACTCGTTATCATCACATTAAAGTCACTTATTGAACCATTAGTTTCAACAGACCCCCAAGCTACAAATGTCATTCTATGAACGCGTACAATTAATTTCATATGAAAATCTTGTAATCTTTGACATAATGTTACTAACTAAAATTAGTTCTATTTTTACTTCGCTATCGTGTGATTCACTCATCGTGGCTTCTGGAGACTTATTATACTGTAGTAGGTCCTACCGTAGTATAGAGCTTCTGGAAAGACTTCTGATAACAAATTGCCTTCAGGATATTTAATGCAGTTCGTTCAATATTGTTTTATTTTTATTCATTCATCTCATAAAACCTTTTATTAAGTGACAGATTAAGCAGAGGGGATATGAAAATGATTAGAACCCCCCTCCCTCCCCCCCCCCCCCCCCCGCCAAGTGCTTCTTATAAAAAGAAAGCTCTTTTCTGTCAAAAAACATACCCCTCTGATCACTTCGAGCAAACCCCGAGTTTCCATTCCGTTACAAAAAACAAAACCACAAATTATACTAGTTATATATATATATATACTTCTGATATTTATTTTCAGCTCGGAAATGGGTAATTCGGAAGGATTAAAATAGAAATAAACAAATTTGCAATAAAAAAAAATAATCGATTTTAATGGTAATTTAATAGTTATAAAAAAAGCAAATCACAAACTATACTAGCATATGGTCGTAGACAACCAAAGCTGAAAGGGTCCTATTAAAACTCTAATAGGCTAGATTCGAGAAAAGCAGTCTATAATGTTAAACGGTTTAAGAATCGAGACATTAACAGTATTTTGTCCTATACGCTGCACCGACTTCTTGGAATTAACTACCTTATTTTCAAAGACACTCTTCACATTTCTGTGTTATAAAACGCAGCTTGATACGTTAACTTCTTTTACAAGAAAGGCGATGTGATTATGCTTCTCAATTTCTAAGAAGCTTGGCGTATTGAGGAAGCGCTTCATAGAATGCTATTACTAACGGACTATTAATTTATTTTAAAAAAGAAAACTGTTCGTAATGCTTCCGCGGAATTCTGAAACAGAAACTGTCCATAAATAACTACCTGTGCATTGTTTCCTTCTCAAAATAGAAACAGCCAATATAAATTAATACTTCTACAGTGATTTCATCCTTAAAGCCAATTGCGTTTTGTTTGCAATGTCAAACTTTTTGTTTTGCCAGTCTAAAAGTTTCTAAAAGTTAGTTAAAAGATGAGACAAAATATGAAAAGCAAATCGTTGTCTTACCTGATGGTTTTATTCAGGGATTGTCGCATGTCAATTGTCCCTATAATCACTGTGTAGTCTGATATTTTAAATTATCCTTTTTAAATGTCCATTGTTATTAGTTATCTATAATTATTTTTATCTGGGTGAACACGAGTTTCCGATACACGTCCTCTGAGCGGCACGCTCGATGTTAGAAATGGTTTGAAAGGCACAACTAGCAAACAGATCGATCAATGGAACAAGTCTCTGTTAGAGTGACAGTCATCCAGCCAATAGAATTACAGGATTGCCCTTCATCGCTGACCACTACCGGGGTGACAAAGCGTCAAGTCCCGGGGGTTATACCATCTCGCCGTGGCAGAAGTGTTTGTTGATGTGACTGCCGCCGATAGATACCGTCACAAAAGAGCTTCGGTCAGAATAACAGACGGTCCCGTTCCCTGCATCAATTACAATAGTAGAAAAAGAACAGAGGGATTAACTGATAAATGATATTGATAATCCTTTTGTTCGGGGTAATTATGTAGCGCTATCGATAAATGCCTTGTCTCTGGGAGAACTCGGTGAGTCTATTAAGCAAGTGGAGTGAAAACGCCCCTAACGTATGTCATGAATAGGAGTGAAATAACGCAGACGTGCGCTGTAATGGTATTTGAACTGGTGTTTGAGTTAGTCAATAAAAGTATTGCTACATGAAATTGTCTATACGAAGATAAGGGTATACAAGCTCCATTATAGCATTGTATCACACAGTGTTAAAAATAACGGTGCATCTCTCTTCGGAGTTTTAAACGGCGACTCTCCAAATAGAATAATGGGGATTCGTGCTGTGTGGTGTTATGAAGGTATCGGCAACAATATTGAACCAATTGCCAGTTGCTGAACGGAACAGAGTAAAACATGTTATGTATGCACACAGTTGAATCCATGCTGTCCGAATGCAATAAATACAATAGTTTTTTTCCATACTTGATTACTTCGGCTTCCAATATGGCGAGTAATGATACTCGCTACGTGCCTTATACTCGGAAAGCTCAGATATGGAAGACATGCCTACAGTTTTATGTTAGATAAAATTAATTAATATCAAGCGAGCAAACAACCAGGAAATAAAATGTAGGGAAGTTTTTGTTAAATGTTTCAAGAAATAAAAATATGTGTCAACAAATTGGAACTTGTCATACAATAGAGAGATCTAGAGTAAAATAAAAATATATTTTAGATTATATACAGTTCGAATCCAATTTAAACTTGAAAAAGTGTAGTTTGATAATTAGTCCATGGCATTTATAACCTTTTGTTAAATGTTGTAAGGCATAAAAATATGTCAACAAATGGGAACTGGTCATATAATTGAGTGATTTGAAAACAAACATAAACTATATTTGTTTAGGTCATACGCTTAAAAAACTCTATGTTAATAATTAGTTCATGATATACATAACCTTTCATTATATGTTGGGTTTTTTTTTAAAGAAATAAAAATGTGTCAACAAAATGGAACTTTTCATAAATGAAGAGGAATTGAAAACATTATAAAACTATATATTTTTCAGATCATATTATATTTTTACATAATTATCAAATAAATTAACATAGTTTGCTGAAGTACAGAAATTTAGAATATTATTTCTGGCGACGTATCGACGAGGGTCCTCTAATCGATTTCTGTTAGTTCTTTTCCTTCCCATCCGATTAGACCCTTTTTCTTACCGGGCCCTCGCCTCGTTCCAGCACCACTGTCAGGGGAAATCAAGTTGGAAAATTATGACGAACATTTTCTGCACAGACGGGGATCGAACTTGGGCTCTCCTGGTTAGTGAGCTAGGGACATATTCATCGATACTACTTTCTCTTGTAAACACCAGCTATTATGATACGTTCCATTAATGTATAACAATGCATATGACTTAGGAATTGAATATTGATGGCACTATTGTTCATTATGAGACAAAGCGAAGTGGCGTTTAACGTCCTCTCAACACAGACTGGATCATTTCGGGATTGCCATATGTTATATCTCTATATCAACATTTCGCTTACGTGCAGTGTGTTTTAGCCGTAGGGGAAATCTGGAAGAAAACCCTTGGGGTCAGGCAGACGACACTATGCTCAAGTTGGCGGGAATAAGCCTGTAGCTGAAATCCTTTGACTCAATGACAGATAGTATGATCTAAAGCGCATGCTCTAGACCATGTGAATGCCGAAATGTTAGCTTGAGAAACCATGCTACAAAATCTCTTTCACGATAGAAGTTTCCATAAAGTTTTTCATGTGTTATCGAACCGTACTTGGCTTTATAAAAGTAATATGTGACTGCTGCAGTTTGTAAAAACTCTATCAGTAATCAGTGTAGCGTAAAGAGATAAAGAATGAAGTGGGATTTAATTGAGGGTGTGACAAAAAACACCTAGGAATTGCATAAAGCGGTTATCTTGACATATCAATTTGGTGATGTGATGTAATTTCCTGTTGTGTACCATTTTCAGTTCAGGAAGAAAGAAATTTCAGTCTTCAGCTTGATTAGAACGTCTATCTAAAAATCATTGATAATTTTAACTTGAATCAAGAGGATACCGAGCGTAATGACCAGAGTAAAACATTCTTGCCAAATATGGTATCTTCGGTTTTTTGGGTCTTTTTAGTTTTAATATTAGTGGCAGATGGTGACAACAACCATAGTAATATTTTTTTTATTATTATTTTTGCGATCGACGTGGTCATGCTGCATTTCGTCTGAATTGGATATACAGAGGCTTTTTACGTTTTGAAAAGTTTACATATCAGTGTTTGAACATGGTGTCTCAGTGAATAAGGGGCCAATCCACAAACTAAGGGTTCCGGGGTTTTTCCCTTGTCAGTGGTGCAGGGCAGAGGGCCTGCATGGCGAAGAACAGCGTCTAGTCGTTCGGGTAGAACGTAAAAACCGAGGTCCCGTGTACACCTTGGTGTGCACGTAAAAGAACCATTGACAGTTCAATTGCTGGGCAGGCAAAAATTCCTCTATAGCACACTGATAATACCTGTCCATTAGCCTGGTTAGTGCAGAAATAAAATGAAATGGGGTTTAACTTCCTACTTTTCGGCACAGATTAGGCTAATGAATACGGGCAAACGCCATGCGGTGTGCTGTGAGAAAAATTTGCCCAGATAGTGGCGTTACGGTCTACTATTATCAGCGGTTTTTATCCCATCCGGACGACTATATACGTCGTCTTATGCCAGACCTTCTGTCCTGTACTACTGAAAAGGGGGTCAGTGAAGAAAAGTAGGACGTTAAACCCCATTTCATTCATTCATTACATTAACATCGTGTGTGGTTGTGCAGTAATACTGTTTAATGTCCGCTTCTACAGCGAAGCGATGTCGCAGAAACCATATCAATTTCAGGCCCATAGAGGTACCAGGCCCACGGATTATTTCGATAACGATGCGTGATATGGGCTGTACATTTCCGAAAAATATGGGCTTAATAGAAGAGTGAAGTAAACAACTTTAGAATGTACCGGTGGTTTTCCCTTGTCAGTGGTGCAGAGCGGAGGGCCTGACAAGGACAGCTGTCTAGTCTTTCGGATGAGACGAAAAACCGAGGTCCCGTGTATACATTAGAATGCACTTAAAAGATCCCTTGGCAGTTGGAATTCGATATAAGAGTAGGCGATAGTGCCGCTGCCCGGGCAAAATTTCCCTCATAGCACACTGTATGGCGTATGCCCGTCTTCATTAGCCCAGTATAGGAGCAGAAAAGTAGGACGTTAAACCCCATTTCATTTCATTTCATTTAGAATGTACCGACATTTTGATGAGCCGGCAAACATAATTGTCATACGAAACTTACCTTGTCTGTAACTCACTTCATGGTACACAAATACTTTTCTCGCTGGAAGACAGTGCTCTGTGTAGACAAAGTGAAAATAATCACTCCTAATTGAAATGTGGTGTAGCAAGGTTTAATGAGATTATAATGCCTGTTACCACTGCTTTATAAAATTATGACCACTTCGTCACATATGAAAGTGCGCTACAAATAATTCCATTGCCTATATAGCAAAATTGTGCACGTCACAGGTCTGAATGTGTTATGTATAAAACCCTAGATTCGTGATTGTGTTTGCGCCTCGAGTGAATTGGAAATGGCATATAATGTAATCTTTATAGAAATATTGACTGTAAAGATTATAAAGTATGTGTCCAAGGAAGAGAATCGCGCATTGTTTACGCCTATTTGGAATAGTAGCCAAGTCTCTAACTCAGTATCATCCAAAGTCTTCGACATTGAAAACACGAATTATTTGTCAATTTAAATCAACATTGATGTGATTTTAGTGGGAAAAGATGGGCTTCTGATATCCAATATTTCTGACAGCGCCATTTGTAACAAGGGACTCGAAGAACGAGACTAGACATATTCGACAAGTCATGTCAAACGGTGACGTCATATTCTTATCTTTAGAGCATGCGCAATAAATACTATCGGTGAAGGCTGGAATAACCAGACACTAGAGATTGCCATTCGATTGAGACTTCTGGCGTATTCGCCGAACATAACTGATTTGAAATTTGAGTAAAAACGGAAACGACTGAATGTAAATCAGTTTATATACATTCATATTACATTTGTGTCAACTTCAAAGTCCCAAATATTAGCAATTTAGCTCCTTTAAGCACAAAAAAACAATAGATAAGTCCCAAGATGATGCATATCCGTGCCGAAAGCGCAAAAAAATCAAGTCATTTTAAATAATTTTCTCTTTTCATTTGAATTTATTGCGATAGGGTTTTCCATTGATATTATAGTAAAATAAGGCGTTAAACAGCAAGTTTAATAAATCGGTTTGGGGAGTCAGGGCGACATCAATTTATTCTAATTGCTTTACCCTTTAAAGATACATTATATACAAAGCCAGGCAGATAAGCGTCGTGATTGGAAAGGGCCATAAATCTTCAAGGTTTCTGGGCAAAGTTTTTAATTAAATTTGAGGAAAACGTAGACTCTTCAAACTATAAGTGCCGTTGCATAATGAAGAGGGTAATAAATTATCTTCTAGATATTCCAACTTGGGTGCCTGTTTTTCGATACGCTGCACTCTTTATCGTAATTGTCTTAAGATAAGCCGAATGATATTCCAGAAGGGGACATTATAAGAATGGCATG